GGTTATTAGTATGTAAGGAATGTAATGAATTGACTGGCATTTGAACCCGTCTCCGATTTCTCAATCCGAGCCACTATCCATTAATTTTCCATACCTCCTAATAAACACACATAATAATAAGAAAGAAAGGAGAGATAGATTTATACCTTCCCCTAGGTTATTAGCATATAAGTGAATGTAATGAATTCGACTGGCATTTGAACACGCCGATCCGATTTCTCAATCCGAGCCTCTATCCATTAATCTTCCATACCTCCTAATAAGCACACATAATAATAAGAAAGAAAGGAGAGATGGATTCATACCTTCCCCAATGGTATTAGCATGTAAGTGATATGTAATGAATTCGACTGGCATTTGTAAAACCCGTCTGAATCCGATTTTCTCAATCGGAGCCTCTATCCATTAATCTTCCATACCTCCTAATAAGCACACATAATAATAAGTAAGAAAGGAGAGATGGATTCATACCTTCCCCAATGGTATTAGCATGTCAGTGAATGTAATGAATTCGACTGGTATTTGAACACGCCTATCCGAATTCTCAATCCGAGCCTCTATCCATTAATCTTCCATACCTCCGAATGAGCACTTATAATCATAAGAAAGAAAGGAGATATGGATTCATACCTTCCCCAATGGTATCAGCATGAAAGTGAATGTAATGAATTCGACTGGCATTTGAACCCGTCTCTCTGATTTCTCAATCCGAGCCACTATCCATTAATCTTCCATACCTCCTAATAAGCACACATAATAATAAGAAAGAAAGGAGAGATGGATTCATACCTTTCCAAAGGGTATTAGCATGTAAGTGAATGTAATGAATTCGACTGGTATTTGAACCCGTCTCTCCGATTTCTCAATCCGAGCCTCTATCCATTAATCTTCCATACCTCCTAATAGAAAGCACACATAATAATAAGAAAGAAAGGAGAGATGATTCATACCTTCCCCAAGGGTATTAGCATATAAATGAATGTAATGAATTCGACTGGCATTTGAAACCCGTCTCTCCGATTTCTCAATCCGAGCCTCTATCCATTAATCTTCCATACCTCCGAATAAGCACACATAATAAGAAGAAAGAAAGGAGAGATGGATTCATACCTTCCCCAATGTTATTAGCATGTAAGGAATGTAATGAATTTGACTGGCATTTGAACCCGTCTCTCCGATTTCTCAATCCGAGCCTCTATCCATTAATCTTCCATACCTCCTAATAAGCACACATAATAATAAGAAAGAAAGGAGAGATGGATTCATACCTTCCCAATGGTATTAGCATGTAAGTGAATGTAATGAATTCGACTGGCATTTGAACCCGTCTCCGATTTCTCAATCCGAGCCTCTATCCATTAATCTTCCATACCTCCTAATAACTTAAATCACACATAATAATAAAAAAAAAGAGAGATAGATTCATACCTTCCCCAAGGTAATTAGCACACATAAATGAATGTAATGAATTCAATTCGACTGGCATTTGAAACCGTCTCCGATTTCTCAACCAATGGTATTCTCTATCCATTAATCTTCCATGAAAATCTCTCCTAATAAGCACATATAATAATAAGAAAGAAAGGAGAGATGGATTTATACCTTCCCCAATGGTATTAGCATGTAAGTGAATGTAATGAATTCGAATGGCATTTGAACCCGTCTCTCCGATTTCTCTATCCGAGCCTCTATCCATTAATCTTCCATACCTCCTAATAAGCACTTATAATCATAAGAAAGAAAGGAGAGATGGATTCATACCTTTCCAAAGAGTATTAGCACGTAAGTGAATATAATGAATTCGACTGGCATTTGAACACGTCTCTCCGATTTCTCTATCCGAGCCTCTATCCATTAATCTTCCATACCTCCTAATAAGCACACATAATCATAAGAAAGAAAGGAGAGATGGATTCATACCTTCCCCATTGGTATTAGCATGTAAGTGAATGTAATGAATTTGACTGGCATTTGAACCCGTCTCTCCGATTTCCCTATCCGAGCCTCTATCCAATAATTTTCCATACCTCCTAATAAGCCCACATAATCTTAAGAAAGAAAGGAGAGATGAACTCATACCTTCCCCAAGCGTATTAGCATATAAGTGATTGTAATGAATTCGACTGGCATTTGAACCCGTCTCTCCGAATTCTCAATCGGTGTCTCTATCCATTAATCTGCCATACCTCCTAATAAGCACACATAATCATAAAAAAGAAAGGAGAGATAGATTCATACCTTCCCCAAAGGTATTAGCATGTAAGTGAATGTAATAGATTCGACTGTTATTTGAACCCTCTCTCTCCGATTTCTCAATCCGAGCCTCTATCCATTAATCTTCCATACCTCCTAAGAAGCACACATAATCTTATATATGAAAGGAGAGATGGATTTATAACTTACCCAAGCGTATTAGCATATAAGTGAATGTAATGAATTCGAATGGCATTTGAACCCGTCTCTCCGATTTCTCTATCCGAGCCTCTATCCATTAATCTTCCATACCTCCTAATAAGCACACATAATAATAAGAAAGAAAGGAGATGATTTATACCTTTCCAAAGAGGTTATTAGCACGTAAGTGAATGTAATGAATTCGACTGGCATTTGAACACGTCTCTCCGATTTCTCAATCCGAGCCTCTATCCATTAATCTTCCATACCTCCTAATAAGCACACATAATAATAAGAAAGAAAGGAGAGATGGATTCATACCCTTCCCCAATGGTATTAGCATGTAAAGTGAATGTAATGAATTCGACTGGCATTTGAACCCGTCTCCGAATTCTCAATCCGAGCCTCTATCCATTAATCTTCCATACCTGAATAAGCACACATAATAATAAGAAAGAAAGGAGAGATGATTCATACCTTCCCCAATGGTATTAGTATATAAGTGAATGTAATGAATTCGACTGGCATTTGAACCCGTCTATCCGATTTCTCAATCGGAGTCTCTATCCATTAATCTTCCATACCTCCTAATAAGCACTTATAATCATAAGAAAGAAAGGAGATAGATTCATGAATTCTCCTATGGTATTAAGCATATAAGTGAATGTAATGAATTTGACTGGTATCAGCATTTGAACCCGTGAATTCTCTGATTTCTATCTCTCTGAGCCATACTATCCATTAATCTTCCATACCTCCTAATAAGCACACATAATAATAAGAAAGAAAAAGAGATGGATTCATAACCTTCCCCAATGGTATTAGCATATAAGTGAATGTAATGAATTCGACTGGCATTTGAACCCGTCTCCGATTTTCAATCCGAGCTCTATCCATTAATCTTCCATACCTCCTAATAAACACATATAATAATAAGAAAGAAAGGAGAGATGGATTCATACCTTCCCCAAGTGTATTAGCATGTAAGTGAATGTAATGAATTCGACTGGCATTTGAACCCGTCTCTCCGATTTCTCAATCCGAGCCTCTATCCATTAATCTTCCATACCTCCGAATGAGCACACATAATAATAAGAAAGAAAGGAGAGATGGATTCATACCTTCCCCAATGGTATTAGCATGTAAGTGAATGTAACGAATTCGACTGGCATTTGAAACCGTCTCTCCGATTTCTCAATCCGAGCCTCTATCCATTAATCTTCCATACCTCCTAATAAGCACACATAATAATAAGAAAGAAAGGGAGATGGATTCATACCTTCAATGTTATTAGCATATAAGTGAATGTAATGAATTCGACTGGCATTTGAACCCGTCTCTCCGATTTCTCAATCCGAGCCTCTATCCATTAATCTTCCATACCTCCTAATAAGCACACATAATAATAAGAAAGAAAGGAGAGATAGATTCATACCTTCCCCTATGTTATTAGCATGTAAGTGAATGTAATGAATTCGACTGGCATTTGAACCCGTCTCTCCGATTTCTCAATCCGAGCCTCTATCCATTAATCTTCCATACCTCCTAATAAGCACATATAATCATAAGAAAGAAAGGAGAGATGGATTCATACCTTCCCCAATGGTATTAGCATATAAGTGAATGTAATGAATTCGACTGGCATTTGAACCCGTCTCTCCGATTTCTCTATCCGAGCCTCTATCCATTAATCTTCCATACCTCCTAATAAGCACACATAATAATAAGTAAGAAAGGAGAGATGGATTCATACCTTCCCCAATGGTATTAGCATGTCAGTGAATGTAATGAATTCGACTGGTATTTGAACACGTCTATCCGATTTCATCTGAGCCTCTATCCATTAATCTTTCCATACCTCCTAATAAGCACACATAATCATAAGAAAGAAAGGAGAGATGGATTCATACCTTCCCCCAATGGTATTAGCATGTAAGTGAATGTAATGAATTCGACTGGCATTTGAACCCGTCTCTCCATTTCTCAATCGAGCCTCTATCCATTAATCTTCCATACCTCCTAATAAGCACACATAATCATAAGAAAGAAAGGAGAGATGGATTCATACCTTCCCCATTGGTATTAGCATATAAGTGAATGTAATGAATTCGACTGGCATTTGAACCCGTCTCTCCGATTTCTCAATCCGAGTCTCTATCCATTAATCTTCCATACCTCCATATATCTAAGAAAGAAAGCATTCATACCTTCCCATATTTATTCTAAGTAAAAAGAAAGGAGAGATGGATTTCTCAATCGGTGTGCCTTCATAACCTTCCCTAAGGTATAAAAAAAGAAGGCATAGGATTCATAAAAGGTATTAGCAATGTAATGAATTCGACTGGCATTTGAACCCGTCTCTCCGATTTCTCAATCCGAGCCTCTATCCATTAATCTTCCATACCTCCTAATAAGCACACATAATAATAAGAAAGAAAGGAGAGATAGAGAAATAAAGAAAGAAAGAAGTATTAGCATGTAAGTGAATGTAATGAATTCGACTGGCATTTGAAAGAAAGAAATTTCTCAATCCAAGCCTCTATCCATTAATCTTCCATACCTCCTAATAAGCACACATAATAATAAGAAAGAAAGGAGAGATGGATTCAAAGAAAAAAAAGGAAATTAGCATATAAGTGAATGTAATGAATTCGAATAAGAATTTGAAAGAAAGAAAGAATTTGAAAGAAAGAGCCTCTATCCATTAAACTTTCCATACCTAATAAGAAAGAAAAGAAATAAGAAAGAAAGAAAGAAAGGAAAGATGAATTAAACCTTAAAAATGGTATAAGAATGAAAGGAATGTAATGAAAGAAAGAAAGAAAGAAAGAAAGAAAGAAAGAAAAAAATATAAACTTATGGATTAATCTTCCAGAAAGAAAGAAAGAAAGAAAGAAATAAAGAAAGAAAGAAAGAAAAGAAAGATTCATAACCTTGAAAGGTATAAGAAGCAAAAGAAAGAAAATGAAAAGAAAGGAATTTGAAAACCCGAAAGAAAAAAATATAAATAGAGAATAGGTATCCATTAAAGAAATAAAGAAAGAAAGACAGAAAGAAAAGAAAGAAAGGAGAGAAAAATTAAAACTTATGGAATAGGTAATTAAGAAAGAAATGAATGTAAAGAAAGAAAAAGAAAGAAAGAAAGAAAGAAAAGAAAGAAGCCTAAATCCATTAATCTTTCCATAAGGTCTAAGAAAGAAAGAAAAAAGAAAAAGAAAGAAAGAAAGAGAGAAAAAAAATATACCTTCCCAAAGGTTATTAGAATATAAAGAATGTAATGAAAAGACTGGCATTTGAAAGAAAGAAAGAAAAGAAAAAAGAGCCTCTATCCATTAATCTTATGGAATACCTAATAAGAAAGAAAGAAAGATAATAAAAGAAAGAAAGAAAGAAAGAAAGAAAAAATATAACCTTTATGGAATAGGTATTAGCATAGAAAGAAATGTAATGAAAGAAAGAAAGAATTTGAAAGAAAGAAAGAAAGAAATATAAGCCTCTATCCATTAATCTTCCATACCTCCTAAGAAAGAACACATAATAATAAGAAAGAAAAGAGATGGAAAAATACCTTCCCCAATGGTATTAGGTAATATAAAAGTGAATGTAATGAATTCGAAAAGCAAAGAAAGAAAGAAAGAAAGAAATATAAGCCTCTATCCATTAATCTTCCATACCTCCTAATAAAAAAAAAAAGAAATAATAAGAAAGAAAAGAGATGGAAATATAAACTTATAGGAATAGGTATTAGAAAGAAAGAAAGTAAAGAATTCGACTGGCAAAGAACCCGTCTCTCCGAAAAAAATCCGAAACTCTATCCATTAATCTTCCAGAAAGAAAGAAAGAAAAGAAATAAAATAAGAAAGAAAGAAAGAAAATTCATACCTTATGGAATGGTAATAGCATGTAGAAAGAAAGAAAGAAAGAAAGAAATTTGAACCCGTCTCTCCGAAAAAAAAATCCGAGCCTCTATCCATTAAAAGAAAGACCTCCTAGAAAGAAAGAAATAATAGAAAGAAAAAAGGAGAGATAGAAATACCTTCCCTATGTTATTAGCATATAAGTGAATGAAATGAATTCGACTGGCATTTGAAAGAAAGAAAGAAAGAAATCCGAGCCTCTATCCATTAATCTTCCATAGAAAGAAAGAAAGAAACAAAGAAAAGAAATAAGAAAGAAAGGAGAAAAAAAATACCTTATAATGGTATTAGCATATAAGTAAGAAAGAAATGAATTCGACTGGCAAAGAAAGAACGTCTCTCCGATTTCTCAAAAGGAGTCTCTATCCATTAATCTTCCAAAGAAAGAAATAAGCACACATAATAAAAGAAAGAAAGAAAGAGAAAGATTCATACCTTCCCAATGGAATTAGGTAATAAGTGAATGAAAGAAAAGACTGGCATTTGAAAGAAAGAAAGATTTCTCAGAAAAGAAAAAAAATCCATTAATCTTTGGAATACCTCCTAATAAAGACACAGAAAATAATAAGAAAGAAAGAAAAGAGATGGAAATATACCTTTATGGAATAGGTATTAAGAAATGAAAAAAGAAAGTAATGAATTCGACTGGCAAAGAAAGAACGAAAGAAAAGAAATCAATAAAAGCCTCTATCCATTAAAGAAAGAAAGAAAAGAAAGAAAGAAATAAAGAAAGAAAGAAAGAAAAAAAATTCAACCTTATGGAATGGTATTAGCATGTAAGTGAATGTAATGAATTCGACTGAAAGAAAGAAAGAAAGAAAGAAAAAAAATATAAGCACACATAATATGGAAGGAAGATTTCAAAGAAAGAAAGTTAAAGAAAGAAAGAAAGAAAGAAAGAAAGAAAGAAAGAAAGAAAATTCATTAATTTTCCTTATGGAATAGGTATAATAAGAAAGAAAGAAAGAAAGAAAAGAAAGAAAGAAAGAAAGAACGAAAGAAATTTCTCATATAAGCCTCTATGGATTAATCTTCCATACCTCCGAAGAAAGCACAGAAATAATCATAAGAAAGAAAGAAGAAAAAATCATAACCTTCCCCAATGGTATAGCATGTAAGAAATGTAATGAATTCGACTGGCATTTGAACCCGAAAGATTTCTCAAAAGAGAGCCTCTATCCATTAATCTTAATAAGAAAGAAATAAGCACACATAATAAAAGAAAGAAAAAGAAGAGAAAAAAAAATAAACTTATGGAATGGTATTAAGAAAATAAGTGAATGTAATGAATTCGACTGGAAATTTGAACCCGATCCGATTTCTCAATCCGAGCCTGGATCCATTTCCAAGAAAAGAAAGAAAATAAGAACAAATAATAAAAGAAAGAAAGGAGAGAAAGAATATATACCTTAAAGGAAGAAAGGTATTAAGAAAGAAAGAAAGTAAAGAATTCGAAAGAAAGAAAGAAAAAAAATCTAAAAGAATTTGGAATAGCCTCTAAGAAATTAAGAAAAGAACCTCCTAAAAAGACACATAATAATAAGAAAGAAAGAAAAAATGGATTCATACCTTGGAATAGGTAATAAGAATAAAAAGAAAGAAATGAATTCGACTGAAAGAAAGAAAGAAAAAAAAGATTTCTCTATGGAAACTCTATCCATAATCTTCCAAGAAAGAAATAAACAAACATAAGAAAAGAAAAGAAAGAAAGATAGATTCATAAGGAAAGGTTATTAGAATATAAGTGAATGTAAAGAATTCGAAAGCAAAGAAAAGTCTCTCCGAAAAAAAATCGAGCCTCTAAAAATTAATCTTCCATAAGAAAAGAAAAGAAAGAAAGATAATAATAAGAAAGAAAGAAAGAGATGGAAAAATACCTTCCCTTATGGTATTAGGTAATAAGTGAAAGTAAAGAAAGAAAGCATTTGAACCCGTCTCTCCGAAGAAAGAAAGAAAGCCTCTATCCATTAATCTTATGGACCTCCTAATAAGAAAAATAAAGAAAGAAAGAAAAGAAAGAAAGATGAAGATTCAAACCTTCCCCAATGGTATTAGCAAATAAGAAAGAAAGTAATGAATTCGACTGGAATTTGAACCCGTCTCTCCGATTTAAAAATCCGAGCCTCTATCCATTAATCTTAATAAAAAGAAAAAAGAACAAATAAAGAAAGAAAAGAAAGAAAGATGGATTCAAACCTTCCCCAATGGTATTAGCATGAAAGTGAATGTAATGAATTCGACTGGCATTTGAACACGTCTCTCCGATTTCTCAAAGAAAGCCTCTATCCATTAAATACCTCCTAATAAAAGAAATAAATAAGAGAAAGAAATAAAGAACCCCAATGGTAAAAAGCATGAAAGAAAGAAACTGGCATTTGAAAGAAAGAAAGAAAGAAATAAAAGAAAGAAGAAAGAAATGGATTCATACCTTCCCCAATGGTAGAAAGAAAAAAGTGAATGAAAGAAATTCGACTGGCAGAAAAAAATATAAATTTTCTCAAGAAGGAAAGAAAGAAATTAATCTTCCAAAGAAAGGAAAAGAAAGACACATAATAATAAGAAAGAAAAAAATATTAAAACCTATGGAATGGTATTAAGAAAGAAAGAATGAATGAAAAGAAAGCATTTGAACCCGAAAGAAAAAAGAAATCTTAAAGAATAGGTCCATTAAGAAAGAACCTCCTAATAGAACACATAAGAAAGAAAGAAAGAAAGAAAGAGAAAAATTCATACCTATGGAATGGTAAAGAATATAAGTGAATGTAATGAATTCGAAAAAATTTGAAATAAAAGAAAGATTTCTCAAATAAAGCCTCTATCCATTAATCTTCCATAAAGAAATAAGCAAAGAAATAAAATAAGAAAGAAAGGAAAGATGGATTCATAAACTTATGGAATAGGTATTAAGAAATAAGTGAATGTAAAGAATTCGAGAAAGCATTTGAAAGAAAGAAAAAATTTATCAATCTAAGCCTCTATCCATTAATCTTCCAACCTCCTAATAAGCAAAGATAATAAAAGAAAGAAAGAAAAAATGGATTTATACCTTGGAATAGGTATTAGAAAAAAGAAAGAAAGAAAAGAAATGAATTCGAAAGAAATTTGAAAAAAATCAAAAATTTCTCAATCCGAGCCTCTATCCATTAATCTTCCAAAGAAAGAAAAGAAATAAAATAAGAAAGAAAGAAAGATGGATTCATACCTTATGGAATGGTAATAAGAAAGTAAGTGAATGTAATGAAAGAAAGCAAAGAACCCGTCTCTCCGAAAAAAATAGCCTCTATCCAATAATATGGAATACCTCCTAAGAAAAGCACACATAAAGAAAGAAAGAAAGAAAGAAAGATGGATTCATAAATGGAATGGTAAAGAATATAAGTGAATATAAAGAATTTGAAAAAAATTTGAACACGAAAGAAAAAAAGGCCTCTATGGAATTAAAAAGAAAAGAAAGAAAGCAAAGATAAAAGAAAGAAAGAAAGAAAGATGGAAATATAACCTTATGGAATAGGTATAAGAAAAGAAAGAAAGAATGTAATGAATTCGACTGGCAAAGAAAAAAAATAAATTTCTGGAGCCTAGGTCATTAATCTTCCATACCTCTAAGAAAGAAATAAAGAAAGAAAGAAAGAAAGAAAGAAAAAAACCTAAACCAATGGAATAGCATAATAAGTGAATATAAAGAATTCGACTGAAAAAAGAAAGCTCTCTCCGAAAGAAAAAATATAGCCTCTATCCATTAATCTTCCATACCTCCTAATAAAGAAAGATAATCATAAGAAAGAAAGGAGATGGATTCATAAACAAAAGAATGGTATAAGCATATAAGTGAATGTAATGAAAGAAAGAAAATTTGAAAGTCTCTCCGAAAGAAAGAAGCCTCTATCCATTAATCTTAATAAGAAAGAAAGCACACATAATCATAAGAAAGAAAGAAAGATGGAAGACCTTCCCAATAGCATGTAAAGTGAAGATAATGAATTCGACTGGCAAAGAAAAGAAAGAAAGAAAAAGCCTCTATCCATTAAATTCCATACCTCCTAATAAGCAACATAATCTTAAGAAAAAAGGAAAGAAATACCTTCCCCAAATGTTATTAGACATATAAGATGTAAAGAATTCGACTGGAAAGAAAGAAAAAATTCTCAAAAAGATGGAATATTACCACTAATAAGCACACATAATCAAGAAAGAAAGGAGAGAAAGATTCATAGAAAGAAAGAAAGAAAGCATGTAAGTGAATGTAATGAATTCGAATGGCATTTGAACCCGTCTCTCCGAAAATTTCTCAATCAAAAGCCTCTATCCATTAATCTTCCATACCTCTAATAAGCACTTTCATAATAATAAGAAAGAAAGGAGAGATGGATTCATACCTTCCCAAAGAAAGTATTAGCATGTAAGTGAATATAATGAATTCGAATGGCATTTGAACCAATCTCTCCGATTTCTCTATCAAAGCCTCTATCCATTAATCTTCCATACCTCCTAATAAGCACACATAATAATAAGAAAGAAAAGAGATGGATTCATACCTTCCCCAAAGGTATTAGCATATAAGTGAATATTTAATAAATTCGACTGGCATTTGAACTATAATAATAATCTCCGATTTCTCAATCCGAGCCTTATCCATTAATCTTCCATACCTCCTAATAAGAAACACATAATAATAACAAAAGAAAGAAAGATGTAAAAATATGGCGGAAAATGTTATTAGCATATAAGTGAATGTAATGAATTCGACTGGAATTTGAAAAACGTCTCTCCGATTTCTCAATCCGAGCCTCTATCCATTAATCTTCCATACCTCCTAATAAGCACACATAATAATAAGAAAGAAAGGAGAGATGGATTCATACCTTCCCAATGTTATTAGCATATAAGTGAATGTAATGAATTCGACTGGCATTTGAACCCGTCTCTCCGATTTCTCAATCCGAGCCTCTATCCATTAATCTTCCATACCTCCTAATAAGCACACATAATAATAATAAGAAAGAAGGAGATTACAATACCTTCCCCAATGGTATTAGCATGTAAGTGAATGTAATGAATTCGACTGGCATTTGAACCCGTCTCTCCGATTTCTCAATCCGAGCCTCTATCCATTAATCTTCCATACCTCCTAATAAGCACACATAATAATAAGAAAGAAAGAGAGATGGATTAATGAATACCCTTCAATGGTATTAGCATGAAAGTGAATGTAATGAATTCGACTGGCATTTGAACCCGTCTCTCCGATTTCTCAATCCGAGCCTCTATCCATTAATCTTCCATGGTGGAATAAGCACACATAATAATAAGAAAGAAAGGAGAGATGGATTCATACCTTCCCCAATGGCACACATAATTATTAGCAATAAGTGAATGTAATGAATTCGACTGGCATTTGAACCCGAGATCCGATTTCTCAATCGAGCCTCTATCCATTAATCTTCCATACCTCCTAATAAGCACACATAATAATAAGAAAGAAAGGAGATGGATTCATACCTTCCCCAATGGGAAAGCATGTAAGTGAATGTAATGAATTCGACTGGCATTTGAACCCGTCTCTCCGATTTCTCAATCCGAGCCTCTATCCATTAATCTTCCATACCTCCTAATAAGCACACATAATAATAAGAAAGAAAGGAGATGGATTCATACCTTCCCCAGGTTATTAGCATATAAAGTGAATGTAATGAATTCGACTGGCATTTGAACCCGTCTCTCCGATTTCTCAATCCGAGCCTCTATCCATTAATCTTCCATACCTCCTAATAAAGCACACATAATAATAAGAAAGAAAGGAGAGATGGATTCATACCTTCCCCAATGGTATTAGCATATAAGTGAATGTAATGAATTCGACTGGCATTTGAACACTTCTCTCCGATTTCTCAATCTGAGCCTCTATCCATTAATCTTCCATACCTCCTAAAAGCACACATAATAATAATAAGAAAGAAAGGAGATGGATTCATACCTTCCCCAATGGTATTAGCATGAAAAGTGAATGTAATGAATTCGACTGGCATTTGAACACGTCTCTCCGATTTCTCAATCCGAGCCTCTATCCATTAATCTTCCATACCTCCTAATAAGCACACATAATAATAAGAAAGAAAGGAGAGATGGATTATACCTTCCCCAATGGTATTAGCATATAAGTGAATGTAATGAATTCGACTGGCATTTGAACCCGTCTCTCCGATTTCTCAATCGAGCCTCTATCCATTAATCTTCCATGGAGGAATAAGCACACATAATAATAAGAAAAAAGGAGAGATGGATTCATACCTTCCCCCAATGGTATTAGCATGTAAGTGAATGTAATGAATTCGACTGGCATTTGAACCCGTCTCTCCGATTTCTCAATCGAGCCTCTATCCATTAATCTTCCATACCTCCTAATAAGAAACACATAATAATAAGAAAGAAAGGAGAGATGGATTCATACCTTCCCCAAGCGTATTAGCATATAAGTGAATGTAATGAATTCGACTGGCATTTGAACCCATCTCTCCGATTTCTCAATCGAGCCTCTATCCATTAATCTTCCATACCTCTAATAAGCACACATAATCATAAAAAAAAAAAGAGAGATGGATTCATACCTTCCCCAAGGTATTAGCATGTAAGAAAAGAATGTAATGAATTCGACTGGCATTTGAACCGTCTCTCCGATTTCTCAATCCGAGCCTCTATCCATTAATCTTCCCTCCTACTAATACACATAATAATAAGAAAGATGAAAGGAGAGATGGATTCATACCTTCCCCAAATGGTATTAGCATATAAGTGAATGTAATGAATTCGAATGGCATTTGAACCCTGTCTCTCCGATTTTCTCAATCCGAGCCTCTATCCATTAATCTTCCATACCTCCTAATAAGCACATATAATAATAAGAAAGAAAGGAGAGATGGATTCATACCTTCCCCAATGGTATTAGCATGTAAGTGAATATAATGAATTCG